CCAGCTTACCGGTAATGACATTGCAAGTACATGGTCTTATCTTAGAACCAGAAACAATGGTGAGTGTAGACACACCGGTCTCACCAGCATCCGTTTCAGACACTGAACAGACATTTTCTGGGTCTGCAGCTGCAAATATCGCAATCTCCCGAGCAGTTGCGTCGTTATAGTCCAAACTGGAAATGCTAGAGCCGTGGTCACGAACCAAGTTGTCGACGTCTACCTGGATCACGTTCTGATCGTGTTCAAGTAGATAATCGTAGATCTTCAAACGTAGATAGCATTCCTTGCACTCGAGCGTCTACGAGTGGATCTGCGACGCCCCGAGATGCTGGATAAGTAGCGAAAGCAGCCGGTGACACTCTATGGTTGTGCACGAAGGTTCCGTTTTTCAGTTGGAGCTCACCACGTGATAAATTTCACTGGATTACGAACCGGAAAGGACAGTCAGTCAAGCGTATGTGCTGCCGCGGTCTGCTTCCTTCACTGCGTGATTTCCGCTTCTTCCAGCCATGTGTACAGATATATGTTCGTTGGTAGGGTCAAATTGCTCTGGTACCAACTGCGAATCGTCTCCTCCCTTCCTTGTCTTCTTTAGGCGCTTGTTCCTCTCTGCTCTTGACATTGTCTCCTTCACTGGTAACACGTGCATCGTTCTCTGGCAGTAATCGGCAAAGTAGGTTTGCCATGCCTCCCAGCTTGTGTGCCAATTCACCGGCGCTTCAACAGGTACAAGAACCAATTCTGCAGTAAATCCCCCATCATCCTCTTCCTCTCCACCATCCGATTCTGAACCACGCCCTGATTTTACATCCTCCACGTCGGGATAGTCACTTTCACGGTCGTTTCCAGGGATGGCGGGACCACCACCGGTTTCCAGCGGATTGCCTTCTTCGTTACTAGCCGCTTCCGCAGCTTCAGACACTCCAGACACTCCAGCTTCTTGCGTATCACTTAGCCTAGGACCTCGAAGTCGCGGAGAGAGACCCATGTTGCCTCCACGCGCGCTCCGGGCGCTTACATCGCCTCCGCCGACGCTACGCGTCATCTTATCGGGAAGCGGTAGAAACGCGAATGAGAAAAATCCGAAGTTATTCATTTCGGAAATAGGCGAATCGGGGATTTTATTTTACTTTCAATCATGTATTGACCCATGATTGGAATCCTGCACTAATCCATGTAAATAATCATGGCCTTCAACAGGCGCGTTGATTTAACAAGGTGTGGCAGTCAGTCTGACGAAATTGACCTTTTTAAGCTTTCGAGTACAGATATAATTTACCTTCACCGAAGATTTGCTTTGCATCGTCACATCAGCGAAATCTCGTGCCACGAAGTTTGAGGCAGGTCACGTTTTAAAAATTTAACTCACGGCACAAATCTAGACCGCAATTGATTTGAAGAAAGCACCGTAAGCGAGCCGTAAACAGGCAATGCCCAAAATCTACGACATACTGCATACACATGTTTAACATTTAAAAGGCCAGTTGGTTGCTTACAAGCTTACAATGATCGTTGTAGGAAGCGTACGATTGATGACGGCCACACAATTAGCTGCAGCTCTTCATTTCTTAGCTTTCATTCGTAAGAAAGATGCTTTGCGTCCATTAAGCTTTAAAAGTTTTTAAAATGAGCACCTGTTATTCATTTCGGAAATAGGCGAATCGGGGATTTTATTTTACTTTCAATCATGTATTGACCCATGATTGGAATCCTGCACTAATCCATGTAAATAATCATGGCCTCCAACAGGCGCGTTGATTTAACAAGGTGTGGCAGTCAGTCTGACGAAATTGACCTTTTTAAGCTTTCGAGTACAGATATAATTTACCTTCACCGAAGATTTGCTTTGCATCGTCACATCAGCGAAATCTCGTGCCACGAAGTTTGAGGCAGGTCACGTTTTAAAAATTTAACTCACGGCACAAATCTAGACCGCAATTGATTTGAAGAAAGCAGCGACCGTAAGCGAGCCGTAAACAGGCAATGCCCAAAATCTACGACATACTGCATACACATGTTTAACATTTAAAAGGCAAGTTGGTTGCTTACAAGCTTACAATGATCGTTGTAGGAAGCGTACGATTGATGACGGCCACACAATTAGCTGCAGCTCTTCATTTCTTAGCTTTCATTCGCAAGAAAGATGCTTTGCGTCCATTAAGCTTTAAAAGTTTTTAAAATGAGCACCTCACAAGATAAGCTATACCGTCATATTTTGCCGTTGCTGTACCGTAAACACTACGCTGCACGCCGCGATCGTAGGATTTCTCCACATTTTTTTGAGTTTGTTATAAGATCTCTCCATAAATAATGTTACAAAGTGGATATTTTCGCCCTCGTACTTCGAAGTCATCAATATTGCTCTTCACCCTAAAATGACGGTGCCTTCTGGAGCATGCTCCACTGTGTGGCGCGAATGATGTTGCCGTAGGAACAAGAATGTGTGCGTGTTGTAGTAGGCCAGCCTGAACTAAACTACCAAGTGAACTCTGACGCGGGACCTTCACAGAAACCAGTTAAAATGAGATCGTGATATCGGTGCTAATATAAAAAATCATTATCATTTTCACCCTCGAAACCAGCCCTACTACACATTAGCCTCTACATGAGAGGAAAACACTCCGTTCAATAGGGCCGTTCGAACTACGCTAGCTCGTTCATGCTCGTCCTCGCTGGCTTTGTGCTGTAACATCCGGTGGAATTCTTCAGCTGCTAACGCACGTTCTGACTTGATCGTGGTGACCATCAAAGGTGTCTGCCGCATGCATATCTCCGCTACGGATGACAGCCCATCAGTGGACGGTTGAAGAATGCAGACGCCTGTTTCAGTGACGTGCATACCGCTGAATCCGTCCTCGCCTTCTGAGTCGATCTTCCAGGTGTATACTGCTCGTTCTTTCTCCACGAATCTCCTCCCAACAAACCGCTGTAGCAATGACACGGTTGCTCCATTCGGCAGCTTCTTAACATTACGGTACCGAATCTCAAGTTTTCGCGTTCGTCCTTAGCCTGTTGTCGTTGCTGTCTGCGTCGAAGTGCCAGCTTTCCTCGCTGAATGTTTGCTTCTTGGCCAGGAACGAGCGCACTGGGAAGAGCATGGATAGCTCATCGATAAGTTCGAAAGGAAAGCTTTCTAAAGGGTCAATCGGGTAGTTGGCGTCCACAAAGCTGTCGATATCTTCGAAGAGTGCATCCATGTCCTCGCGAGTGTGTCAAAATAAAACTGGAGCTTGGCTCCGGTTATTGGGCGTCATTACCATGGCAGCACCTTGATCCCATCTGCTTAAGTGGCAAGTAATCATGGCCTTTCCTTGGGCTAACTGCCCATAAGGTTATCCACGTTTTATCCATACATTAGAGAATTGAATCGAGAGCCAGAAATGTCACGATCACAGATGTGATCTGTCAGTGACAGTGTCACGGCGGAACTTCTTCTCTTAAAGGAATCAAAATTAGTGTTAAAGTGACCACATCTTACTGTAGTCCAGCAATCCTATAGAGGTTTGTTACACTGGACGAGACTCTTGTCGCTGGGGAGAAAATCGTGGCATAGAACAAAAGAAACGTTCAAACCCCGCGATCGCTAAGAATGGGCGTCAGCAGCCCGAGAGGATGTCAGGAACCAAATGGTCTTCCAAAATGTGTCACTGCTGACAGAACTCACGCTCACCGACGAAAATGAGCGTCAGCCCGTGTTTTTTTATAAAAAATTCCGTACAAGTACCTCCAAATGCGGCATGGCGATCAGGGAATACCGCGATGCTATCCTACACAGTGCACGAGTCGGCGGCGGTAATGCAACGTGGTAGCCGCTATATGTCAATCACTTATGTCCCCACGACGCTTTAAATGCTGCTAAATCGGCAAATCGACGCATCAATAACACTCCAGAATATCTGTTTTCTTACAGCAATTTCAGGCCCAAGAGAAAAAATACCGAAAAGACACATCGTTATTAACTAGTTGGATAGACCGGTGTGACTGTATTGAATTCGGAAGTGAGGAGCCCAAACCTGAACTGGTGTAAAAGCTACTTACCGTCACAAGTGATTCAGTCGCTCATGAAAGCACCACGTGTCCTTTACAGGTGGCGTCCTCGAACACCCGATAGCGGGTCCGGCGACGGGACCTTTGCCTGCAGCGGGACAAGAGCTTCAATCTTGGCCTTGAGCTTAGGTGAAATCTTGCTGACAACGTCCAACGCCTTCAGGTTCTGCTCTAACTGAGCGGGAGAGCTAGCCCCAATCATCACGGTGGACACCTTGTCGTTGGAGACGCACCAGGCGATAGCGAGTTGAGCCATGGAGCAGCCCAGTTCCTCGGCCACGGGCTTCAGACGGTCAGCTTTGATCACACGCTCTTCAAAGTCCGGAATGGCCCCCTTCAGACCCGACATGTCCAATCTGGAGCCGTCTGGAGTGCCGGCACTGTACTTACCCGTAAGCGTGCCAAAGGAGAGAGGTGACCACGTTGAGAGACCCGGTCCGTACTTCTCGATAAGGGGTGCGAACTCGAGCTCCACCTTACTGCGCTCCAGCAAATTGTACTCCGGCTGCTCTACAACGGGACGAATAAGGACCAAACGATCAACCTCGCACGCCTCAATGATGTCAGCCGCAAACCACTGGCTTGTACCCCAGTAGAACGCCCACCCTTGCTCGATCACGAAGTTCATGGCGCGAACAGTTTCCTCGATGGGGGTGTAGGTCTCGGATCGGTGGCAGAAGATGACGTCGACGTAATCGAGCTGCAGCCTCGCCAGCGATGCCTTGGTGCCCTCAATGACGTGCTTACGACTCGCGCCTTGGTCGTTCGGACCGCCTGCGAACCAGCCCTTCGAGCCACCGAACACCTTCGCGGTAACCACGAGATCCTCGCGACTCCAAATGCCATCTGCGATACCCATTTTTATCGCCGCCCCCATGTTGCGATCCGCCTGACCATTGCCGTACGTCTCCGCGTTGTCGAAAAAGTTCACCCCGTGCTTAAACGCAACCTTCATCATCTCGTACCAGCGCTCGGGCGTGTACTTGTCATCGGCCCACATCCAACTTCCAAGCGCAAGGTTGGAGACCATGAGCCCCGAGTTGCCAAGCAAACGGTGAGGCATGCGAGGCGTAGAGCTGTCGGACGGTGAGCTGGACATTGTTGTTGAAGTGTTTGCTGTTGTGTCGCGTTGAAAGAGAAAGCAGAAATGAGGAAATAACAGATAAATTCCAGAAAAGCATTTTAGTGTTAAGTCAAAGGTTATGCATCTGGGTTATAATGCGCACAAAGGACATTCACGTATCGAAGGGGATGCCCATTACGCGCAGGAAAGTTGCTCGGATTGATTGCTTTACCCTCGCTTCTTCGCAGCCCTCGCTTGCAAGATAATGGTCAAGCAATCGCCTCATGTAGTACTGTACATGGTTTTATTTCTGGTGCTACCGTATTCACAGGAATAATCGACCGTAATCACTGGCTCGTAGACACTAAACATAATTTCAAATTACGTCAATTTAGAGGGCTGATATGGTGCAACCTAGGATAATTCTGCATTTTTGAATCGCTACTGCCTTCAATACTTTGCGAGCAGGACTACCCTAGCTATGATTCAGTATGTAGAGCGTGCATTTTTGAAAATGATCAGTTAGTAGTAGTTGGGGATTAAAGCGACACCCGTAGAGTATCATAGGAACCTAGGCTGTTCTTGGTTCGGCTTCATACTCAATCCAAAACGTCAATGAATAAATCTATATATTGTAGTCATCGAGCAATGCATACAAACAAGATATCTTGATACAGTGAGAAAGACCGAGCAGTGTACACCTGGAAAATACACGCGGAGGGCGAAGACGGATTCAGTGGGATGCGCTCGACTGAAACAGGTGTGTGCATTCTTCGCTCGTCGGCTGATGGACTGTCTTCGGAAGCAGAGGTATGCGTGCGGCAGACACCTATGTTACTGGCAGGGCTCGGAAAAAATTATTATAATATAATAACTGTGCAATTGTATTGACGGAATAATGGATTATTGGCAAATTGATCTTTCCGTAAAATATGCAATTGTGCCCGTAATAATTATATTGAATTTTTACCCAATGTAAAAAGCAACAGAGAGTAGAGTAGTGGTTGTCAAGCATGCAATCAAAACGAATGGTTTGTGTGAGTTTGCCGGAGGCATCAGGCTGAGCTTTCGTGCCTCTCATTTCTCATTTCGCCAGTGCCATGTCAACTTCTCGCGCCATCTCCAGCTTTTTCTTCACGGACTGCGGCAACGGGCAGTTTTCCTGCAAGCAGTGCGGCAAGGCTCGCAAGCAGACGCCGGGGACTGGCTACACAAATCTCATCGACCACCTCGCAACGAGCCACCCCGGCTACAAGAAGACTTACGACGAGAGCCAGCGATCGTTCGGCCAGTCCCTCGAAGCACACGGCTTCATTGACCCGCGCACTATGGAGATCTTCAAGTGGATGGAGTGGGTTCTCGTCCGGAACATGCCCCTGAGTGAGGTGGACGACGCCATGACGCGTGCGCTGGCTGCAATCAAGCCAGTGTCTTCGAAGACGTTGCTCAAGTACATGCGTCACGTGGCGCGCAAGGTAGGAACCCGTATTGCGGCAGACATGGGCAACCAGTTTGGCCCTCATGTTTGACGGCTGGACTTCAGGGCACCTATTATTCATAGCTATCTACGGTGTCTTCACGAAGGTCGGGGCGCTACCACGAAGTTTTGCTCGGGCTGTCTTCTGCCGAGCACGGCCAGACCGCTGATGCTCACATCGACATGATTGATGCGGTGCTGGATGTCTACAAGAAGGATCGCAGTATGGTCCTGTTCATGGTTGCTGACAACTGCTCTACAAACCAAGCCGTCGCTACGGGCATAGGAGTACCGCTCGTAGAATGCGCAAGTCATCGCTTCAACCTCGCTGTCGGCCGGTACCTTGAAGACTACAAGCCGCTGATCGACCAAGTCCAAACGCTGTGTATTCAGCTGCGGCACGCAAACAATGCAGTGGACCTGGCTCGGTTTACGAAGTACAAGCCGCTGAAGGCAAACGCTACGCGCTGGTCATCCACTTACCAGATGCTGGCTCGCTATGTGGAGATCCGGGACGCTATCAAAATGGTGACAGCTGTGGAGGACCTCCTACCCCGACCAAGCACCCATCGGCAGATTGTCCAGCTTGTCACTAAGCTTGAGGCGCTAGACAGCGTCTGTGTCAAGCTACAGGCCGAAGAAGGTAACCTTGCCGATGTGCGACTCCTTTTCGACGCTGTCATTTCCAAGTATCCAGGGACGGCACACCACCTTAGTGCATCGGCTCGAATCGTCCACTCGCCGGCCTTTGAGAATGCGGTTGTCAAGCTGCTGTCGGATCGACCGTTAAGCGCCGATGAAGAAGAAGCTGTGGCTCGTTTTGCCGGCCCTGCTAATCGCGAACCAGCAGCACTGAACAAGAAGAAGAAAACAGATTTCGCGACGGAAACGCTTCGTCAAGCGAAGAGACCTCGCCGAACCGCTGGAACCAAGTACATTGACGTGCTACAAAAGGTTCCTCCAACCAGCAATCGCTGTGAGCGCCTCTTCTCGCAGTGCAAGTTGGTGCTCAACCTCTATGCTCCAGCCTGTTGCCAGCTAACTTCGAAATGTTGGTGTTCTTACGCGCTAACCGTGAGCTCTGGGACTTCGCTTCTCTGTTGGGGTTTCATGAGGCATTCGATGAAGACGCAGAGTAGATGAAAGTCACTCAATAAGGATAACCTCTTATTAGTGATAATATGTCTTATCATTAAATATAGCAGGTATAAAACTTTCATATACAAAACCCATATCCGCTGGTGGACTGCCTGCCGTCGCCGGCGCATTTTTTGTTTGCTAGAGTACCCTAAGCCCGGACAAAAGTCCCGGTGGTAGCCACCAGCTTCTCTTACAGGTGTGGGACTTGAACCCTGTGCAGTGGATTGGTAGGATCATCCCAAACCACTGCACCGCTCTGACCCTACCAATTCCTGACAATAATTGCAGTACTTATTATTGTTTTTATCGATACGGAATAGCGGATTATTTTTTTTTCTAAATCCAATACAATATTTTATTTAATTTTCCGTTACTGGACACTTCTGAGTCGGGGCTTGCATTTGCTGCTGATGAATTCCAGCGGCTATTGCAAAACAAAGTCGACGAGGATTCGCGCGAATTTGCGATCGTACTCCGATCGACACTTTTGAATGGAGTACTTGCCTCTCATGCAGGTGCAAAAGCACCCGAGTAGAAAGTAATCTGGCTTTTTAAAGTAGCTTTGGCTCGCGTTTGTATTGTCTTAACCCCTCTGATACCGCAAATGGAGTCTCTGAACGTGCAAACATTACGTCGTAACTTACGACGTCCTAATAACAGCATTATTGTATAGGGGCGCCCCTTTTGCCGTAGGATACATCGGCGATGGTGAATAAAGTTTTGAAGTGTTTGGTCTTCACATGTCGTATACTTACGACCTCTTCTAATCGATAACGCATAGAGAAGTCTCAACTTACGACTT